AGACTGAGCGATCTGAAGGGCATCAAGAGGGTCCTCTGTCTCCTATTTCTCCTGAGGCCTCCATCTGCAAGAGCTGAAACTGATCCTGCCAGAAGCAGGGTACAGAATGGAATGAGAGCTGCTCCAAGTTGCAAGCACAAATCCATTCTGGGGAAGTTACAGAAAGAACAGTTTTGGTATGTAGGCACTCACAGAATCAGAAGCCTGAAGATTCAAGCTTGGAACACAGGAAGCAGGTGCATGGCAAGATGCTGCCATCAAGAACAGTCTGTCAGGACTGTTACACAAGGCTGCTGCTGCTGGCCCTCACACCACTGGACACCTGCCACTATCCTGCAGGGTCCTATTGTCCTTGGTCACTGCTAACCATGAATTCTCAACTCCAAGATAGCCACTTCTAACGATTTCATATAAACTGGTGCCATTGTACCACCTCTTTTTAAAAATCCACCTTTTGGACTCATACCTCTGCCCCTTCTCATTTAGGTTAAGCAAAAATATTGATTTAAATGAGAATTTCCAATTTATTTTCAGAAGGGTTAACCTCAATGCAAACCATAAATCAATGGATGCAAAGTCAATGATTTGCTATAAAGAAGGATATTTTTTCTTTAACTTTTTGAATAGTTATTTTTATTAATCATAGTCTGTATAATACAAAATTGCATAATTGTAGTATAATTATAATTAGCTGTAATTATATATCATTGATCATTAAATTATAATTAATAATTACCTTGGTTAAGTTCACAGCTAATGCTATTTAATCTGTGAAAAAAGTCAGGAAAGCTGCCCTGCTTGGTGTGCGCCTGCCATCTAGTGACAGGCTGCAGTAACACTATGGTAGAAGTCCTAGCACCCTTCAAAGGCTGGGTCTGCTAGAGTTTACCCCACTTTACAAATTTCCCAATGTTTTAATCCAATTAACTATGCAACGAAACATTCATAGGCCTTTGAAATGATCTTTCCCTCTATGCACTTCCATTCCAGATTAATTTCAAACATAAATTATGGAAAGCAAAGCCATACCTAAAAATTCTTTCATTCCCACATTCCCTCTGGTAAAACTCCTAAGTCACCTTTCATTTTACGTGTACCCCAGAAACAAGTGGCTTGAGCATGCTGTTCTTCTCCCACAAAGAATATCTTGATCCTCACAGAGGCGAAAGCAGGAGCCATTGATGTCACAGATTGCTGGCTCCCTATGATTTTTTTTTTTCCAAAAGAGTGATGAGAGGGAGAGGGAAGAAAGGGGATCTTTTTAAAAAGGAATTAAGATGTGGCCTGCACATGTGCCAACTGCACACAAGTAGTGTGAGTACTACGCACACGCAAACACTAATTAAGAAAATGGGAAAAAAAAAACAAAAGAAGGAAACAGGATCTGGTAGCATTTTCCCAGATATATCTAGTAAGGAGAGTCCTGAATGAAGAAGAATAGATTCATAAAAGATTCACTCTTTCTGATCCTTCTAAAATTTAGAAGACAAAATTTGTCAGATACCACAGCCAACTGGCAACATCTACACAATTTTTCACATAACTAAGAGCAATAAAACTGACTTCAGACTTCAAAGATATTTTCTTACTGTGATGTTTTCCTCTTTCAAAGGGAAGGAGTAAATATCAAGCAAGTGACCTAATAAATTCAATAAAGGTAAACGGCGTGGCTGAAAGGTTAAGATGAAGTTGCCAGAGGCACCATGAGTAGAGGTCTACACTCCCTAAAGACAAGGTCAGTCCCTGGCTCCCTGTGCTTGGTTGACGTTCGTAACTCAGTTCATACCTACAAAGAAGTGGAAGTTTTAATCTGAATCTGGAAATAGAAGGAGGATCTGTAGTATTAACTTACCATGGTAGCAATACAGAGTGGATGTGTGAGAACTGAAGAACCTGCAAAAATAGGCTGGACAAAGGTTTCTTCATGCAAGTAGAATCTGACCAAAGAAATTTTGATAGTTGAATAACTTCGATAAGGGCCGGCCAGATAGTTCAGCAGACTAAAGCACCTGCTCAGGCAGGCGCAGGACTGGGGTTTGATCGCCAGCGTGCCATACCGGCTCAGCCCCAGGGATGCGCTGAGAGAGCTACTGAGATTGGGAGTGGTGGTGCATGCCTGTAATGAGCACTTGGGAGGCTGAAAACAGAAGGATGACTGTGAGTTTGATCTGTGTAGTGAGACCCTGTAGATCCCGTACCAAATACATTTAAAAAATAATAATAACTTCAATAAAATTCTGCATGGATAGAGAAGCCTAGAAGAACCTACTAAGGATGGAATTATGGCCACTAGGACCTGCATGCATCAGCTGTGTCACCCTCCTCTTGTCTAGCTGCCCCTTCTCCCTTCTTGCCCTTGACGTTGCCCTTTCCCTTCCTTACTGTGGCTGGCTCTCTCCTCCATAAGTGGCTGCATTTATTTCATCATTGTTACAGTATATGAAACTCACAATTTCTTATGAATACTGAATGTCTACGCTAAAACTGGTGAGTTGAAACTTCTACATTCCAAAGTGTCACTCTCTAGTACAGTTTCTTCTTAATTGCCTGACCTTTAGAATGTTTTTCTGTTGATGTACACACCTAAAGAGGGAACGAATCAAAGGGTTTTTATTCCTAAAAATTATCTTTCCACTTACATCAAAGTCTGGAATCTGGAGATTGGCTTCTGAGCAGAGAGCTTACATTTGTGCATGCATGTTTATGCCTGTCTAACTAGAGACTATCTAAAATTAAATCCTGTCATTGTGTGGGTTTCTTCTTCTGCTAGACTTTCTTCTTTGTTTCTTTCTTTCTCTCTCTCTTTCAAGTGAATGTACTTGGATAACTCAACAATCATAATAACATTAGAATGGAAAAAGTTGAAAATATTCCACAAATATCTTTGTAAATATGAACAATTAAATAGCATTTTAGATGATTGATAAAAATGTGACCTATTCAAAGATGTTATGTCTAAATATTCTTTTTCTTTTTCTTTCTTTTTTTTTTTTTTTTTTTTTTTGTATTTTTAGGGAAGGGTCTACAGGGCAGGATGTTCAGGGTCTCACTACCAGATCAGACTCGTAGTGATCCGCCTGTTTCAGCCTCCCAAGAGCTGGGATTTCAGGTGCGTGCCAGGCACAGCAGGCCCGGATCAAGCCCACCACCCGCCCCCACCCTCACCACCATCCCTCCCCCCCCCCCCCCCCCGCCCCGCCTTTTCAGTCCTTGCATCTGCTTGCAGGTGCTTTAATCCATTGAGCTATCTGGCCAGCCGTTATGTCTGAAAATTCTTCTGAAAAGTTATAGTTATAGAAATTACAGAACGCTCTTTATCTTCTGACCCAAACCCTGGTGAGGCGTTAGAAGAGCAGCAGCACTGGGCATTGTAACGCCTGGTATCTGAAAAGGCACAATTAACAGTCTGGGGGGTTCCTGCATGGAGACTTTGACCTTTTTATTCTTCAGTAGTCTCCCCTAACCTCAATCACCCTCAAAGACAGAACTCTTCTTGTTTCAATGATTTAAAGTCCCACAGAACTTGACTGGCATTATCTATGCGTTATTAAAGCAAGTGAAGTGATTGTGTGTGTGTGTGTGTGTGTGTGTGTGTGTCTGATGTAGCTATTTTAGGAGAGATTAGTTTACCATTTAATCCAATCACTGACAGATAATCTCAAAGACGAGACAGTTTAATTGATTTGACTGAACTCTTGTAAAGCAGAGCTTTACACATGACTATGAGGTAATTTTACCCAGTAGGGTTGCTGTGTAGTGTAAATACACATATTCCCTAACGCTAAATTAAATTGTGCCCATTAAATGTACTAATTATGTATATAAATCATATACACTACATTGATGTGTTTCTCCGTGGAATCAGATGAGTTATCAAATGAATATATATATTAATATATAAGCATTATTATTCCCTGTTCATCAATCATAGAGTATCATTCAGGATCCCTACCAGTATTTTAGCAACTACTTTAGAATCAACTACCTGCTAAGTTTCACTACAAGAGAAAAGTTTGTAGTGAGGAACCGAAAGGAAAGGGTGCACGGAAAGAACCACCGGTCTTCCGAGGGGTAATGGAAACGGATACTCTTTTATTACAGAATTTAATAAAATTCTCTGAGCAAGTAACACGCTACTAACTCTCATGGTTTCTGGATTCCCAACTCAAAACGCTGCTTCTTCCCTCCACGGCCCTTGCACGCAGGAGCCAGCTCGGAGACTCCTAGGGGCGCAGGTCTCCTAAGGCGAGACGCAGGGCGCTCCCAGGCCTGGGACCGGCCCACTGCTCACTGCCCGCCGCGACTCCCTGGCGCGCACAAGTTGCTTTTTCCAAGCAGGCGGCGGCGGCAGGACGCCGGCCTCGGCGCCCACACACTTCCCAGTGGCGCGGCCCTGCTGGCACAGCGGAGGTGCGGGGTCGAGTCCGGATCCCGGTCCGGGTCCAGTCGGGACAGTGCGGGCTCGCCTGGCAATCCCGCTGCTCCCCGCCCGCAGCGCCAGGCGCCTTGGCAGGGTCGCCCCGACCCCGGCCCGCACCCCAGCGGCCCCGCCGAGCGCTCGGGGCCCCCGCCTCCTCCAGTTTATCCGGAACTCAGGGTCCCACGCGGGGGCGGCCGGGCCGAGGCGGGCGTCCCTGAGGTGCCCCGGCGAGAGGCGCGGGCGCCCGCGGGACCCCGAGTCCTCGCAAGGCCCGCCCGGGG